GTAACAATTCTGTGTCTGTCCCTAAGTAACAATTTCTGTGTCCCTAAGTAACGATTCTGTGGCCCTAAGTAACGATTCTGTGGCCCTAAGTAACGTTTCTGTGGCCCTCAGTAACAAATCTGTGTCCCTCAGTAACAATTCTGTGTCTGTCCCTAAGTAACAATTCTGTCTCCCTAAGTAACGTTTCTGTGGCCCTAAGTAACGGTTCTGTGGCCCTCAGTAAACAATTCTGTGTCCCTCAATAACAATTCTGTGTCTGTCCCTAAGTAACAATTCTGTGGCCCTAAGTAACGTTTCTGTGGCCCTAAGTAACGTTTCTGTGGCCCTAAGTAACGATTCTGTGGCCCTAAGTAACGATTCTGTGTCCCTCAGTAACAATTCTGTGTCCCCTAAGTAACAATTCTGTGGCCCTAAGTAACGTTTCTGTGGCCCTAAGTAACGATTCTGTGGCCCTCAGTAACAATTCTGTATCCCTCAGTAACAATTCTGTCTGTCCCTGAGTAACAATTCTGTGTCCCTAAGTAACGTTTGTCTGTGGCCCTAACTAACGATTCTGTGGCCCTAAGTAACGTTTCTGTGGCCCTAAGTAACGTTTCTGTGGCCCTAAGTAACGATTCTGTGGCCCTAACTAACGTTTCTGTGTCCCTAAGTAACGTTCTCTGTCCCTAACTCTCTCCCTGAATACAGCCAGGTCTGCCTCTGTTGAATGACTGGAGGCAAATGGAGAATTCTAAAATGGCCGCCATTTATAGCTCGACCATTACACTGTGCTGGCTGGCTGGCTGCTGATTGGCTAATGCGATCACATGTCATGAATAAATGCATTATGGGTCAGCGCGCCTTGTCTGCGCGCCTTCCCAGACATCCCCCGCTCCGTCGCCGCACATGTCGCCGCCATTTTAGGAAAAAATTTCGATTCGCGCATCCGAAGTCTGCTTATTTTCGGATTCGACGCGAATCAAATTTTCCTAATATTCGAAACGAATTCCACTTCGCCTACTTCGATTCGCTCATCTCTACATGTGATCACTGATTGGCCAATCAGTGATCATATGATCGGGACCTTGTACAGAGGTCCCGTCCGACGATCGGTGTTTCACAGTGTCCGGAGGACACAGCGGGCACCGGATCGCGGTGCTGCGCGCTCCCAGGGAGCGTGCACAAGCAGGGTGCAGGGAGGCCGTTTATAGACGGCCACCCGACCCTGCAGTGCCACCGTCCGGCCGTTTATATACAACGGCCGTCGGGAAGTGGTTAAAAGAGGTATAGACTCCAGAGAGAGAGATATCATATTACCCCTGTACAAATCATTAGTAAAACCTCATCTGGAATATGCAGTTCAGTTTTTGGGCACCAATTCACAAAAAGAACATTGGGAACTGGAGAAAGTGCATAGAAGGGCAACCAAACTAATAAGAGGCATGGAGGAGCTCAGCTATGAGGAAAGTTTAGAGGAGATTAAGGGGGGATATGATCAACATGTATAAATACATCAGTGGTTCATATAGTGAACTCGGTGTAGAGCTATTCACCCTGAGGTCATCACAGAGGACAAGGGGGCACTCTTTACATCTGGAGGGAAAGAAATGTATTCTACCTACTGGTAGGGAACTTTACTCCTGCTTGGTATTTTTTAAAGATCTGGGCAAATGTATTAGGGCTATACAGGACATAGGGCATTAAGCATTTAAAAATAAAACAGTTAATATTTCATGCCTTGGTAAATAGTTTTATACAGTCCTAATTTTTTTTTGTCTGTGAACTGCTCAGCATGCACCATTGTGGAGATGAATGCAAGAAGTCATCAGACATGGACCAACTGGAGGTGTGTGAAAAGAAGAACAGCACAGTGGCTAAGTGGTTAGCATTTCTGTCTAGCAGCCCTAGGGTAATTGGTTCTAATCTCAACCATGGCACTACCTACAGAGTTTACATTTTCTCCCTCTGTCTGTGTGGGGGTACTCTGGATTCCTTTTACATTCCAAAGATATGCTAGTAGGATAACTGGTCCCTGTCTAAATTGACCCTAGTATGTATGAATGTGAGTTAGGGTCCTTAGATTGTAAACTCCTTAAGGACAGAGACTGATGTGAATTTATAATACATATGCAAAGTGCTGTGTAAATTGGCAGCGATATATATAAGTGCCTGTAATAAATAAATACAATAAGGCTAATTATGAAGTCTCCTGGAAGCAGCTCAAGATGGGGTTTCAGTGTGGAGTAAAAGCAAGTGGCTGTATGTAAGGTTGAGAATTAGTGTAATGAATCTTAAAGCCTAAGTGCAGCCTAAAGAAAAAGAAGAAGGGACATAACATACAGTCAGTAGGACATATCCCTAGTGCTGATGCCTCGTCTTTTAGGTGAAATCTTTCTCCATCCATTGTCCCCCACCCCTAGAACATAATCTTCTGATGATTCAGGTGTTAATACCACTAAGGGGCTATCACAGACTTTCATCAAAAGTGCCCAACTATGCCCATCCTTTCCTCCAAGTTTTGCCATGCATAGAAGCAGTACTACAGCTTCTATGACTAGATCTCGATCTATGAATGTAAAGGGGGAGGAACTATCAATCATCCGCCTATCCCCTATTTATAGAGTCCTGTTTCATTCATAGAAGCTGTAGTCTTGGGTTTTGTGAATAGAGCAGCTGGATGGAAAGGGTGGCCATAGTCAGGTTATCTTATTAACTTTGCTGCACCTGAACATTATTGCGGCATGTCCAACTGACATGACCAACCTGTGTGCGGACATAGGGAGTCAGTGAGTATAAAGACAGTATATTCCTCATTGTTTTTCATGGAGTTATGATTAGTCAAGATTGAAAATAATTCAAAGATCTAATCGGACATGCTGACTATACATTTTCCAGTCATTTCAACCACTTTCAACAAGCTTGACAATAATGACCTATTGGATCAACAATACCAAAAACTGTTATTGCAAAAGCAGGTTACAAGTGGTTGAAATTGTCCGAAAAGTGAGTTGTGTATGGCCAGCACTTGTCATAAAAAATATATACACATTTCAGCAAACTGTATTTAATGTAACACTGTTGAACTTGTATTAGCAGATTGTGTTAGTTTTAATAATAGAGAACCTATGGGATACTGATACAGGATTCTCATTATGAGGCAAAGAGAAAAATCAATTTGAGTACGCATGTTGGAAAGTTGGCACAGTAATCCATTTCAATCGATTTGTTTGCTGTACCACAGCTGCATCCTTCCAGTTTACAAACTCTTAGGTTAAATGATACAAAATTATTTCATTGTATCATGGATGTCACTTTTACTACAATGAACAGTGAAAAAAAATAACAAGGAAATAAAATCAGCACGTTCAATGAATGTGAACATATGTAATAAAAGAGTAGGTTATATAAAAGATGATGTATTCATGTGGAAGAGCACTTAAACAGTTAACACAATGTGCTAAATTACCTTGGGGATCTTGGGTTGTAGTGTCTGATGGGGATGAGATGCGGGTAGGGGTATAGCAGGGGTATGAGGCAACCCAGCTCATTTATGGTACACGGATGGGGAGAACTAATGCACGGTTTTAGCCTGAACAACCAACTACCAATAATAAACTTCCTACCTTTTAAACTTAGGCTTAGAAGGGCCAGAAAGGGGGTGTTTCAATAAGACAACCCCCTCACTATAAGATTTTGGGTTCCCAGCAGCCAAATTTGAAATATGCCTAGCTGTGATAGAGAAAGGGGAGGAAGTGCTGCTAATAAAGTGCTTATGGCCTATTGAGTATTGGACTTGTAAGCACTGATCTCTTAAAGTAGATAGAAATACTGACTGAATGCCCATTAGATGACAAAATGCTATGTATCTTGGGGAATTCAGGGGTGGGGAGGACAATCTACAGTCATAACAGGCTGCATGTGTATTCTTCACAGGACACATTTCCTTATTGTTACTGGCTGTATTTTGTTTCTTAAAAGGCCTTTAAAAAATTCCTGAGCACTGTGCATTAGCACAGAAGCTTATTTTTGCTTGGGAGAGCATGCAATAGATATTTACAGGCAGAAGATTGTGGGACATTGTCACCACAAACGTTTTTATGAGATTTTAGTGGTTGGGTTTTTATCTACTTTACCAACTATGCTTGAGTTCTTTCAACTGCAGTGCTAAAGTACATTTTCTATGTGTCCTGCCTGTGGGCACAGATTTGTACACCCAAAATCCTTTTAACTAGGAGCTTCAGTCACATCTACAAAAATTAAAACTCACAAGAACTGTAGCTGCATGTGGGGAGGTGCAGTGTGGTGTGGAGGGTAGTGAACACATAGAGTCAAGTTTCAGTAAAATTTGAAGCTTGTGTTATGCTGATGCCACCATACAGATACCTTAGTGGGAGAGTGCTGCTTAGGGAAACTACTCACAGTTCAATGCAGTCAAAGACGTGGTTAAGGAGAGGTGCCATCAGTGTCTGTGCTAGAGATGGGAGTGCAGCCTGGCCGGTCTGGTCCGATCCCAAACTGGGAAGCTATTTTCTAGGTAGCAAGTCCCTAGCCTGTCGCTTCTCATCAGGAACCTTTCCATATCACTGAAGGCTTTCCCTAACAAGTGGGGTCTCTCTCCCTACACTAGCCACTCACAAAATGCGTGCTAAAACCCTGGGAGGCCACCCAAGATGGCACCAAGGGTCAAATGGCTGTAGCATAGCCAATTGGAACGCTGCTCCATAGACCCAGGAAACCATAGAGAAACAGTGTTTCCCTTTGACTTCCTCTCCAGACTGTGGTACCACTCAGATCAGGGCCTCCTACAGTGGACTCAACAGACTGCATCTGCCTACATGCAGACTTTTAATAAACAGACACTCACGTGTCCAAAGATCCAGCGCCGTACTCACCCAGGCCGATTCTTCTCATGACTCTGCGGCTTAACAGCTGGATTCCCACTGCACAGTGAGAAGCTCTGCACTTTTTTGATTGGTCTCGCAGCCTTCTGGTACCTGTGACCAGGGGCGGACTGACAACTCATGGGGCCCCCAGGCAATAGGGGATCATGGGGCCCCTGTGTCCTTGCCTAAACTCAAAAACTCAAAAAAGGTAACAGGGGCATCTCATGGGGCCCCCTACTGACCCCGGGCCCTCGGGAAGTGCCCGAGTTTCCACATGGTCAGTCCGCCCCTGCCTGTGACATGTCCCTGAAAGCTGCAGTCCCCCTGCCCTGTCTCCCTGGAGGGAGGAAAACTTTCACTGATCGCTTAGGCTGAGTGGAAGTGGGAGCGGGTACCTATCAAAACCAGGTACCAGAGCCCCCCCAAATATATATTCCAAATTTGGTAGTGGAGGGGGAGGGAGAGAATAACAGTGGAACATCTCCTTTTTGGGTGAAGTCCCACTTTAAGGACCAATATAACAGCTGATTCATTGCTAGCTCTTCAATTGTCAGCACCTTGGCCTTTTTTTTGTCTAATAATTGTTTTTTTTTTCTTTTTTCCCATTATGTGATAAAAAATAAATTTTATCAAGTGCAAGAACAGAGTGCAACTAAACCACCTCACCTTATATCACCCACATTCACCGCACCCCCCCATCCCATAAAATGTAGCCATATCATGGTTATGCTTATTATCCCCCATGAAAACTTTCCTGCTGATGGCCAGTTTTACAAGGAAGGAAGGAAGGAAAAAGGAGGAGTGCAGGTCTTTTGCCGCTGATGTGACTTATTGAGGTGTTGCTCCCATCGAGTCCTGAGGTGCAGAGTCATATGGTTTCTCATGCACGTGGTATCCAAATGACTGGTATTTTTACCAAGGGATGATACGCTCCATGCAGAGGCTGCAGATCGCAACGGTTCTATTTGCAGCATATGCAATAAAAAGGCCCATTGCAGAGCCTTCTCTTTTTTAAAGCGGTAATAAAGTCTTTATAGGGAAAAAAAACTGTCCCCCTGCAATTTAATGGCATAATGTGATAGTATGCACTGCATACTAGCACATTATCCAGATCTATAACTGGCTTTTTAAACAGTGAACATGGAAGGCGTCACAAAGTAAAAAATAGGACTATCCAGTTCAACTTGCCAGCCTATCCCAGTCTAATAATGGCTATTGTCGGCAAGGAACATGGATAAGTATAACTTATCAAAAGAGGGGGATAAGAAAGCCAGTTCAAACTGCCAGCCAGTTAGCCAACTATCAAAAACCAAATTAACCTAAGAATATGCGTTTAAAAAACAGGGGTTTAGTTAGCACACACCTGCAAACACATACGTAAGCCACAGAGCCACATCACGGCACCCTGAGTATCTGTGGTCCTAACTCTATAAATCTTGAGAGTCCTCTCAATGGAGGCACATGCATTTAAATGGATAGAAACAAGGGTGCCATGATGTGGCTCTGTGGCTTACGTATGTGTTTGCAGGTGTGTGCTAACTAAACCCCTGTTTTTAAACGCATATTCTTAGACAGGTTAATTTGGTTTTTGATAGTTGGCTAACTGGCTGGCAGTTTGAACTGGCTTTCTTATCCCCCTCTTTTGATAAGTTTATACTTATCCATGTTCCTTGCCGACAATAGCCATTATTAGACTGGGGTAGGCTGGCAAGTGGAACTGGATAGTCCTATTTTTTACTAGCACATTATAACAGACTTGCCTGTAACAGGGATCCCTCCAGGGCTTCCATCTTTACCTAGTCTTTCTTCATGGTGCACAGGCTCTGGCCATTTGAATGGGGAGTCATGCGCATGGGAGTCATGGCCATGATGCAGCGCTCTGGATTGATGGCACATTTAGTGTACCCTCAATTCAAAGCTTAGTGCGCATGTGCTGGGGATGTCTCTTAAACGGTGCATGTTTAGAAGATATTCATTGTACATACAAGTAAGCTATATTATAAGCTTTCCTGTAGGTACAAGCAGGGGCGGACTGACAACTCATGGGGCCCCCAGGCAATAGGGGATCATGGGGCCCCTGTGTCCTTGCCCTCACTCAAGCCTATAAAAAAGGTACCAGGGGCATTTCATGGTGCCCCCTACTGACCCAGGGCCCTCGGGCAGTGCCCGAGTGCTCGAATGGTCAGTCCGCCCCTGGGTACAAGTGACCAAACAGAGTTTACTACCACTTTATTACCTATGCAAGTGCTTGCTCATTGTCCTGATGTGAACCAATTTCTCCCAAACACTTACTTATTTTGAATATGTTTGGGATATAGGGGTGAGAGCGGGATTGTGGCATTGAAGTGTTTTGTGCTTGACATTTTATTAGGACAATCCAGTGTGGTACTGTGACATAACAAGCTTACAAACTACACTATTAAAATGGTGCACCACTGTCCAATTTGTTTAAAATTGAGGCTTTTATATTTAGTTTTTATTAAGGTAAACTTTTCTGACACCGTCGCAGCCAAAACTACTGTACATAAAAATCCTTTTTTTTTCTAATTGAAATGTATCAGATTGGGGTGCTGCTGCATTCAACCTAGCTGTAAAAGTAAAAAAAATCTATTTTACATCCAAAATATGTGATGGCAGAATACAATGTTGCTGATGCTGTCCATGAAAGTTGCACTGTTTCGTAACATCACATAAAGGTTAAAGGCAATCTCCTAAACATGTAATTCAAAGATTAGTATCAACCCTGAAGTTAATAAATAGCATTTAACCACTTGACAACCGCCAAATATCAGATGTACTGCTACAGGGCGGTGGTGCTATGTAAAATTTAATTCATGTACGGCGTTGCACGGCCATGCAATTGTCAAAGTAACGCAGTGCTGTATCGCAAAAAATGGCCTGGTCATGATGGGGGGGGGGGGGGGGTAAGTGGTTAAAAAGGACCCTCTCCCAGCTAAACGGTATTTTAAAAAAGTGTTTTTGCATTGGTACATGTCCCCAGTGGCAGTGTTCAGCCTCCAATGGTATTTTTTGACAATCATTTGTCTATTGCCTTTAGAGTGGCCAGAAGGTATTTTCAAGATTCACCTCAATAGATCAATGGGTTTGATTTTAATTACTGAATTTTCAGACATTACATTGCATTCAACAAACCCCCTGTGAACCCTGGAACTTTCACTTATCCCTAGTGTCTCTGGTTTAGTCTTAAAGTGAATCTCTAGCCCACATTTTTCCATTTTGGATAAAGTAGGGAAGGGTTAAAGCTCCTACCAGTTTATTTTTTTTCTGTGTACCATTAGGGAATTTTCCCTTCACTTCCTGTACCAGAGGTGCAAAAGGAAGTCTACCCCAAGCTACATCACCAATCTTGTCTCCAAATATCACCCAAAACCATCCTCTCTGCTCCTCTCATGACTTCTAGCTTTCAAGCTCCCTGGTCTCCTCCTCCCATGCTCGTTTCCAGGACTTTACCAGAGCCTCTCCAGTAATGTGGAACTCACTACCTCAATCTGTCTGCCTATCTCCTACTCTGGTTGCTTTTAGGCGATCCTTGAAAACTCATCCCTTCAGGAAAGCCTGTCATGCCTCCGAATAGACATTTATCACTTCCATCAGCTCATCCCCCACAGTTATAAGCTTTTGTACCATGTCTCCCACCCTATTAGATTGTGATTAGGACCCTCTTAATCCTTCTCTTTTGACCGTATTGTAGCTGTACTGTCTCCCTTTTTATTGTTAAGTGCTACGCAAATTGTTGGCGCTATATACAGTAAGTCCTTTATTATAATAATAATAAAAAGTCAGAGTAAATCTTCCAAAGGGAGGGCTATGCCTCATTTAGTGAGGCTACGTTCTCACAGGCAATTAGTCACACTGTGAATTTCAGTAGCAAGAATTTATTGATTCCTGTAGCTGGAATTGACAGCTGTGTGCGTATAGCTAAGGCCACTGAAGGCGCCCGCTGTCAGTCTGTCATTGCACTGTACATGCTCAGCACACAGCTGTCAATCTCAGCTGCAGGAATCAGGAGACTCTTGCCATTGGGATTTGAAACATGGCTAAATGCAAGTGTAGCTTACACCCCAGTCACATCAAAGCCAATTTTGAAATCGTGTGACTTACAGTGAAGTTGCACGATTTCAAAGTCGGGAGACTTGCCAATTTGGGGTACGATTTGCAAGACATCTGACACAGATGTCTATGCCAATCTCACCAAAAGTAGTGCATGCACTACTTTAGAAATCAGTGCAGCTCCGACCAAGTCAGAACCACACCGATATGACCTCTCTAATAGCAGGTGTGACTCGGCATACGATTTGCAAGTCGCATGGCATGCAAATTGCATGCCAACATTCACTCAATGTTGTCATTCCCTGAACAGGTGCCCCAAATGGAAGATTTCTCCTCACCTCTAGCTCTGATTTCAGCTATAAAATATGGATTTCCCCTCACTTTCTTTCTCAGTGGCAATGGTCACCAATATCAAAGAATTAAAATCTCTTCACACTCACCTATCTGTTAGTAAAAAAAAAAAAAAAGGGGGAGCAGCAGCACACAAAGCTATTGACTTTCATAAACATTTCCTACCTACAGTATAGTATATATAGGTATTAAATAGTCACCAGTAGAAATGGAGGGGTGAATCTCCCCACTGGGGATGCAGACAGCAATAGAACTTGAGTCAAGCCCTTATCAAAGGCATACCTCCCAACAGTTCCTAATTTTAGCTGGACTGTCCCACATTCAGAGGAAAATTCCAGGGGTCCCATGGATTGTCTGACCGTGCCTGCTAAAGTGCTGCTGCCTCCTACTCTAATTGGGCAGTAGGAAACCTCTCAAACTTTTCCTTGGCTTTTGTAGGCAGAGAATACTCCACTGTCCATTTCTGCAGTTTGGAAGTGGGACTTTGGCTCCTAAACTCCTCCTATGTGATGTCATTATGTAGGTGGTTTATGTGTCATTGCGTCTGGCAGTTAAGTGATACAGGAAAGTAAAGAAAGAATTCCAGAAAGTACACAGCACAGACTTCATGAATAACCCTGTGAAGGCGCCCCTGCATTACCGCTCATATACAGTAAATGTATGCAGTCTGAAATTCTATTTTTTAGTATGTTTGGCGTCATGCTTCACTAATACAGTTTTCGTAAACTAATAATTTTTTTCTAATCTGTGCTATCCCTTGAAACTGACAACGGTAAACTGCTGGCTAGGGATTATCAGCAATGTTGTCAGCCTGATTTGAACACATCATAAATTGGTTTGTGAATGCCTCTTTGAATGACCTGAAAGACAGCCCATCAACCTATTGAAGGAGTGTACGTGGTAGGTGGGAAATGCTGATGCTTTTTGCAAGGAAGTGCTTTACTGTTGTCAGCAACTTGAGCCATAAGTCGGGCTCATCTATGGGAGTGAACAAGGGCTATTACCAGACTGGACTCAGGAGGTTTGCAGGGATTAATTAAATGACAACTGAATTGAAGGTATAGTTTCCATTAAAATACAAGTGCTGATGTTTCCTTTCTGAAAAATACTAGTTGCCCAAAGGTCATGCTGATCCTCTGCTTTCACTGGTTACTTAAAGCACACCTGTCATGAGAGATGTGCAGAGGCTGCCTTTCAGACTTGCATATTGCCTGACTGTTTATACATTAAAATATATGTTGCGCTACCCCAAGAGGAGCCGCTGAATTGTTTGGTGGTTTCTCTACACACCTGAAGATGACACACCTCACTCATCTGGCACCCTGACACACACTGAGGTATTTCAAAGAATTAATTAGGCTAAGCATAGCCTATAAGAAGAGAGGATTAGTGGGTGTACTGATACAAACAATCAGTAAGACAATAATGTTACTCTGAGACATATGACTAGACACCTGCAGTATTGTGACTAACAGCAATTACCAGAACTGAACAGCATTCACCTAGCAACAGTATATAAAATCAATCCTAACTTGCTATATCAATCCTCATTTTATCCCACTGGCCAGTAGATGCAGAAAAAAAAAGTTGGCTGGCAAAATTGGGGCCCTTGAAGAAAGCACTACAATTCCCAAAAGAGAACAGGTTAACTTGTCTCCTACCAAACCCAGGGTGTCTTCTTCTGGGTCTCTGTCCACAGAGAGGGATAAGAGTTGCCATGATGTCTCTCTTTCAATACTGCTGCGACAGTCCCACTTTTCCTTTCTTAAAAGCAGTGGGGATGATCTCGAGTACAGTTTGATTACCCCAGGCATCCAAATCACACCTCATACTCTCCCAGGGGGAAGGTTCTCACTGTCTGAGGTAAGGTTCTGAGTGATGAGCAGTCTCCTTGTTTCTCTGAGATGTCACCCGATTGTGATCAGCTATGGCAGGGTTCCTTTCAACCAGCAGCTCAGTCTTTTCCAACACCCTTGCTAATTTATTTTGACTTCTTGTCCTCTCAGACCCCCTGCCTCACACTTCTCCTTGCTTTGTTGCATCAGTCAATTACAGTCCTCCAGGATTGATCTATACCCAGCCAAGTTGGCTGCCATTGCACTGGAGACACTCCACAGACAAGCATTACAAACCCTTAAAGATGGCTGCTGCATGTCTATATTACTGAATATTCAGTTTTTCACTGTCCACACTGCAGAAGGAAAACACAGCAGCAAACTAAGGAAGACATGTGGCCAGAAAATATCTCCTACACCAGGGGTGTCAAACTGGCAGCCCTCCAGCTGTTGCGAAACTACCCATCATGCCTCTGTCTTTGGGAGTCATACTTGTAACTGTCAATCTTGCAATGCCTAATGGGATTAGTAGTTTCGCAACAGCTTGAGGGCCACCACTTTGACACCTGTGCCCTACACCATTACACCACCAACACCAGCCTGAACTGTTAAAACAAGCCAGGAGTGGTACCTGGACTGGTCTTCTGCTGCTATAGCCCTTCTGCTTCAAGGTTTGATGTGTTGTGTGTTCAGATATGGTATTCGGCATACTTTGGTTGTAACCAGTGGTTATTTGAGTTACTGTTGCCTTTCTATTATCTCAAACCAGTCTTCCCATTCTACTCTGACCACAACAAGGCATTTTCATCCACACAAATGATGTTCACTGTTCTTTTTCGGACCTTTCTCTGTAAACCCTAGAGATGTTTGTGCATGAAAATCCCAGTAGATCAGCAGTTTTTGAAATACTCAGACCAGCCCTTCTGGCAGCAACAACCATGCAATGATCAAAGTCACTTAAATCCACTTCCCCATTCTCATCGGTTTGAACTTCAGCAAGTCATCTTCTCATGTCTAGATGCCTAAATGCATTGATTTGCTGCCATGTGATTGGCTTATTAGCAATTTGT